TAAGAGGAGGGGCAGTGCTACTAGGGGGTGGAGCACCCCAAAGGGGGGACGGTGAGGCTTGAGCGGCTATGGCAGCTGTGCCAAAATTCAGCTGCTGCTGTGGCTGCTGATGAAACAGCTGCTGCTGCTGCTGTTGCTGCTGTTGCTGGTGCTGCTGCAGGAGGTGCTGTTGTTGGAGATTGAGGAGCGGTGTGGGGGGAGCAAAGAGGTGGAGGTGGGCAGGGAGGTAAGCGGGGTTGGTTTGGATGTCGGCAAGGGAGGGACGTGGGGAGATCGTTCCCCACTTGGGAGGAGTGCCAACATTGCCCCGCGCGTACCAGGCATCATCGAGAGCCTTGAAGCAAGTGCTAGGGGGGTGGTTTGTCAGCCCGCAGGGTGTTCCAGCCCGGGGACCATAGCGACGGACATAGGTGCAGGGAGGAAGAGTGCCAGGACGACTTCCGCGGCCTGCAGAGGCTCCGCCCGAATTAGTGGTGCCATGCTCATCCCCAGTGGCGCCGCCACGGCTGTTTGTGCTGCCGTTGCCCTGACCGCCACCTCCCTTGCCCCCACCTCCCCCTTTGCCGTTGTTCCGAGCCTGCTTGCGGGGCTGGGTAGCGTTGAGGGAGGAGGAGGAGGGTTGGGAGGAGGCGAGGTTGACAATGGGGGTGCGAAGTTTGACTTCGGTGTCTATGATCCACTGCTCAACGGAGGCGAGATCGGCCATGGGATTGGCTTCGGTAAAGGCGTGAAGGCATGATTCATAGTCTGGGGTGAGGTTAAACAGGAGGCGATGGATTTGGAGGGGTTCAAAGAGGCCAGCCTGGCGGGTTTTGAGGCGATCAGCTACTTCTCGCATACGTCCGACATAGTCGACCACTCCGTCACATGTAGCGAGGGTGATTGAAAAGTACTCTTGAAAGAGGATGCCAACCGAGCTGGTGTCGCGGCGTTCGAACATGGCATGGAGTTCGGCCCAAATGACCGAGGCACGGAGTTCCCGAGCCTGGAAGCGGCGCATAAGGGAGTCAGGGAGAGCACCGAGGAGAACGGTGCAGGCGCGGGTGTCAGCAGCTGTCCAGGCGATGAGGTTTGGGGTAAAGGTAGCCAAGTCGTCGTTGTATTTGGCGACGACGGCAAGATGAGCATTGCGGCCAGCAACTGCCTGGTCATAGGCTTCAACTGCTGCATCGTACTCAGCTTTGCGGATAAGGTATGCACGGCGTCGTAAGATGAAGTCTGCATCAGCAGTGGCTTGGTCGACGGTGAGTTGGAGGTCGGGTTCACGAGGAGGATCGCCAGGAGAGGGAGGGAGAGGAGGGGTCTCAACGGGGTGGTCAGGAGCGGTGGGGGGGAGAGCATGGGGACGGCGGAGGATGACGTCAAGGACGCGGTAGGGGGGAACCCATGCATCGGAGAGAACTCGACGAATGCTGCCGATGAAGGAGTGCCAGTTGACGGCGGATTTGTCCACGGCGAGCTGCAGCTTATCGATAGAGGAGGTATCAATAGGAGGAGGGAGGGGGGAGGGTGTGGCGTGAGCCATGATGGACAGCCGCGGGTGGACCCGCAGTGGTCCCGGAGGGGCGTGAGGAGAGGCAGCGACGAGTCCGCGTAGGGGAAGGGCGCGGGCGGCAGCGGCTGTTGAGGCCGCGGGGCGCTGGCGCGGAGGCGGCGTCGAGGCCGCGGAGGGGAAGGGCGCTGGCAACGACGGCTGGCGAGGCCGCGGCGGTGCTAGCGCGGAGGCGGCGTCGAGGCCGCGGAGTGGCGCGGGCGGCGGCTGGCGAGGCCGCGCCGAGGCGCGGAGGCGGGGTCGCGGCCGCGGAGGGGAAGGGCGCGGGCGGCGGCGGCTGGCGAGGCCGCGGCGGCGCTGGCGCGGAGGCGGCGGCGAGGCCGCAGAGTGGCGCGGGCGGCGGCTGGCGAGGCCGCGGCGAGGCGCGGAGGCGGCGGCGAGGCCGCGGAGGGGAAGGGCGCGGGCGGCGGCGGCTGGCGAGGCCGCGGCGGCGCTGACACGGAGGCGGAGGCGAGGCCGCGGAGTGGCGCGGGCGGCGGCTGGCGAGGCCGCGGCGAGGCGCGGAGGCGGCGGCGAGGCCGCGGAGGGGAAGGGCGCGGGCTGCGGCGGCTGGCGAGGCCGCGGCGGCGCTGGCGCGGAGGCGGCGGCGAGGCCGCGGAGTGGCGCGGGCGGCGGCTGGCGAGGCCGCGGCGAGGCGCGGAGGCAGCGTCGAGGCCGCAGAGGGGGAGGGCGCGGGCAGCGGCGGCTGGCGAGGCCGCGGCGGCGCTGGCGCGGAGGCGGTGTCGAGGCCGCAGAGTGGCGCGGGCAGCGGCTGGTGAGGCCGCGGGGAGGCGCGGAGGCGGCGTCGAGGCCGCGGAGGGGAAGAGCGCGGGCGGCAGCGGCTGGTGAGGCCGCGGCGGTGCTGGCGCGGAGGCGGCGTCGAGGCCGCGGAAGAGAGTGGCGCGGGCTGCAGCGGCTTGGGAGGCCGTGGAGCTGCGGAGGAAAAACGACGCTACAGGGGGGAGGAAGGCGGCGGGATGGCCGAGAGGGGGAAAAAAAATGAGGGAGGAGGCCGGGGGTTGCGGCGGCCGGGTGGGCTTGTTGTTTGAGAGAGGAGTAGGCCTAGGAATGACAGCTCTATACCATGTGAGAATAGAGGTTGAAATGTAGTTGATGATGTGATAGAGAAACAGGGGGGTATACATAGTAATGGGGTTGGATGCTAGCCTAAGGTGCCATTATTGGACCCTAACCAAGAGGTTGGGTTGGGAGATTATTGGTGGGGTCCAATAATGTTGGCCAAGTTGGGGTTGGGCCAACATTATTGGAGGGGGCCAATAATTCTACCCAACCCAATCTTTTGGGGTCCAATAATTGGACCAAGGTTGGGTTCCAACCCACAAACTGGGTTACCCCTGTTTGTACACCCAAACTAAGTTTGGGTGCTTAACTCTAGCCTAACCTATAGCATATATGCAGGTTACAAGAGAAGAGGGATTCTAACACCTCTGCCTGCACCTCACCTTGCCAATGGCCGCCCCTCTGCCTGCACCTCACCTTGCCAATGGCCGCCCCTCTGCCTGCACCTCACCTTGCCAATGGCCGCCCCTCTGCCTGCACCTCACCTTGCCAATGGCCGCCCCTCTGCCTGCACCTCACCTTGCCAATGGCCGCCCCTCTGCCTGCACCTCACCTTGCCAATAGCCGCCCCTCTGCCTGCACCTCACCTTGCCAATGGCCGCCCCTCTGCCTGAACCTCACCGTGCCAATGGCCGCCCCTCTGCCTGCACCTCACCTTGCCAATGGCCGCCCCTCTGCCTGCACCTCACCTTGCCAATGGCCGCCCCTCTGCCTGCACCTCACCTTTCCAATGGCCGCCCCTCTGCCTGCACCTCACCTTGCCAATGGCCGCCCCTCTGCCTGCACCTCACCTTGCCAATGGCCGCCCCTCTGCCTGCACCTCACCGTGCCAATGGCCGCCCCTCTGCCTTCACCTCACCTTGCCAATGGCCGCCCCTCTGCCTGCACCTCACCTTGCCAATGGCCGCCCCTCTGCCTGCACCTCACCTTGCCAATGGCCGCCCCTCTGCCTGCACCTCACCTTGCCAATGGCCGCCCCTCTGCCTGCACCTCACCTTGCCAATGGCCACCCCTCTGCCTGCACCTCACCGTGCCAATGGCCGCCCCTCTGCCTGCACCTCACCTTGCCAATGGCCGCCCCTCTGCCTGCACCTCACCTTGCCAATGGCCGCCCCTCTGCCTGCACCTCACCTTGCCAATGGCCGCCCCTCTGCCTGCACCTCACCTTGCCAATGGCCGCCCCTCTGCCTGCACCTCACCGTGCCAATGGCCGCCCCTCTGCCTGCACCTCACCTTGTCAATGGCCGCCCCTCTGCCTGCACCTCACCTTGCCAATGGCCGCCCCTCTGCCTGCACCTCACCTTGCCAATGGCCGCCCCTCTGCCTGCACCTCACCTTGCCAATGGCCGCCCCTCTGCCTGCACCTCACCTTGCCAATGGCCGCCCCTCTGCCTGCACCTCACCGTGCCAATGGCCGCCCCTCTGCCTGCACCTCACCTTGTCAATGGCCGCCCCTCTGCCTGCACCTCACCTTGCCAATGGCCGCCCCTCTGCCTGCACCTCACCTTGCCAATGGCCGCCCCTCTGCCTGCACCTCACCTTGCCAATGGCCGCCCCTCTGCCTGCACCTCACCTTGCCAATGGCCGCCCCTCTGCCTGCACCTCACCTTGCCAATGGCCGCCCCTCTGCCTGCACCTCACCTTGCCAATGGCCGCCCCTCTGCCTGCACCTCACCTTGCCAATGGCCGCCCCTCTGCCTGCACCTCACCTTGCCAATGGCCGCCCCTCTGCCTGCACCTCACCTTGCCAATGGCCGCCCCTCTGCCTGCACCTCACCGTGCCAATGGCCGCCCCTCTGCCTGCACCTCACCTTACCAATGGCCGCCCCTCTGCCTGCACCTCACCTTGCCAATGGCCGCCCCTCTGCCTGCACCTCACCTTGCCAATGGCCGCCCCTCTGCCTGCACCTCACCTTGCCAATGGCCGCCCCTCTGCCTGCACATCACCTTGCCAATTGCCGCCCCTCTGCCTGCACCTCACCGTGCCAATGGCCGCCCCTCTGCCTGCACCTCACCTTGCCAATGGCCGCCCCTCTGCCTGCACCTCACCTTGCCAATGGCCGCCCCTCTGCCTGCACCTCACCTTGCCAATGGCCGCCCCTCTGCCTGCACCTCACCTTGCCAATGGCCGCCCCTCTGCCTGCACCTCACCTTGCCAATGGCCGCCCCTCTGCCTGCACCTCACCTTGCCAATGGCCGCCCCTCTGCCTGCACCTCACCTTGCCAATGGCCGCCCCTCTGCCTGCACCTCACCTTGCCAATGGCCGCCCCTCTGCCTGCACCTCACCTTGCCAATGGCCGCCCCTCTGCCTGCACCTCACCGTGCCAATGGCCGCCCCTCTGCCTGGATCTCACCGTGCCAATGGCCGCCCCTCTGCCTGCACCTCACCTTGCCAATGGCCGCCCCTCTGGTCGGGTCTCGGGGCACGATGACAGTGAGCAGCCCCCCCACTCGGTGCTTCAGATTGCGGTGCACGCGCAGGACGGCTTATGGGGGGGCGTGGGGTGGATGATGGGGAAGGGGAAGAGGAGAACGGGTATGGGGAATAGGGAAAGCTTATTTACCACTGCTGAATGGCGGAACAGGGTAGGGATGAGCAAAATGCCGAACGCCTGTTCGCTTCGCCTCGAACATGTTCGAGGCGAACCGAACAGGCCCTTTTTTTTTGCCAATTCGTTCGGGCCGAACATGTTCGAGGTTCGGCCGAACATGATCGGCGTTCGACTTTGGAGTTGGCCTCTCCAAGCCGAACACGAACATGTTCGTGTTCGGCTTGGCTTCGACGCGAACACCAAAAGTGTTCGCGTCAAAATTGGCCGCGACCAGATTTAGGTCGCGGCCAATTTGAGTTTGAGCTCATTTCGTGAGCTCAAACTCAGAAGTTGTTTAGCCGCTTTAGTGCTCCCTCACACAGCCGCCCTAGCCTCCTTCTTCTAAGTGCAAGCAAGTGCACGTTAATAATTGGAGTGTAAACGAACTCACATTAGATTAGATAGAAGAACTAAGCATAGGGTTTAACGTTGTGTAGGGAGTTTATTTTTACTAGGGAGGGAAAGCGAGCATCTCCCGGGAAGGGCTCAAGTAGGGCGTACCATTCGCTCTAGGATTCGGATCGGGCATTAGGGACGTGCGGTGCGGCACCATCCAACGCTCACGTTGCCTTAGGGGGTTTTAGGGTTTAGGGTCGAGGGCGGAGTGATGGCGTCCAGGGGTGGTGGATCCATAGGCCGAGGTGCAGGCAGGGCTCAGGGCAGCGCACCGGGATCTCCACCACGACCTATGCAGGGGCGAGTAGGGGATGGACCGGGTGGAGCCGGCGCGATCTTCGTTGGGGGGTTGCTTACCGTACCGGCGCCGACCTCTCGTCGCTCTTTCCGTTACGACGGCCCTCGGCCCCCTCCTTCGGGGCAGACGCCGACACAGCCGGAGAGCGGCAGTGAGGAGGAGGATGAGGAGGAGGATGGTGAGGGCGAGAAGGAGGAGAACACTGAGGGGAGCGGGGATGACAGCGAGGCGGCGTGGGACCCAGAGACGCATGGCGGTGGGGAGGGGGGAGATGATGATGATGAAGACCACGAGATGGATGGGTTGGAGCCAGAGGGGCGGGAGGAGGAGGTGGGAGAGGGTGGTGGAAGGGCGGCGACAGAGGCGGGATCACAGCATGTGCGTGAAGGGGGGGGGAGCGTGGGGGTTAAGGTGGGAGGGGGAAAGGCCGTGACCATTAGGGAGCCGAAGCAGAGGAAGAAAGCGAACAAGTTGAGAGAGCGGGCGTATCCCTGCACGTTCACTGGGGAGCCCTTGGGCGAGGGTGTGATTCCACCCGAGTTCCTAGACGAGGACGGAGGGTCCGAGAGTAGTAAGGGGACTAGCAAGGGTAATAGGAGGCCGGGGTGGCAAGTTATGATGTTCGGACCGTTAGGGGCAGACGATAAGCGTCAGTGCAAGATTTGCACAGATAGGATTTCGTGGAAGCAATCCACAACAACCCCGGGCGAGCGGCACTTTGCGAGCTTCCACACTGCGCACATGCATGTGTGGCATCACCGTTACCACACCCCGTCGGTTCACTTGCCTGGGGAGACGTTTCCCCGAGGGGGCTACAAGGGAGTGCCGGATGGCTACGTCTATCAGTGGCCACATGCCAAGACTTGGCCGCAGCTCGCCAAGGGGAAAGCGATGGCAACTGGTGGAGGTGATGGGTCAGGAGGGATCGAGCGGTGGATGACAGCAAAACTGACCTCGGTGCAGCTACGGCAGGCGATCACGAAGCTGGTGGTCACCTGCGACCTCCCCTTCCGCATCGTCGAGGCCGAGGCTGTAAGTGCCCCATCCCATCCCATGCTTGATTTCGCAAGTATGCGGTTAATGGACGTGTCTGTCACTTTGTGTTTTGACTGTTTGCGTGTGGCCCAGTGCAGTGCTATATTACCTTTATCGCATCCCCCTGACGTGTACTACCCTCTCCCCCCTTGTCTCTTCCCCTCTCCAGTTTCGTGAGCTACTCATCCTGTTGAACCGCAACTGCGCGCAAAAAAACTTCATCCCCTCGCGCTGGACGGTTTCCCGCGACACAGTGGTCTATGCGGCTGCTGCTCTTCAGTCAGCCATCGCGGAGATGCTGGCGAAGGAGGGGGAGCTGGGGTGCAGGGTGTCGTTCACCATCGACATGTGGACGTCACCCAACAACAGGGCGTGGCTGGTGGTAACGGGTCACTGGATCGACGAGGGTTACCAGCTGCGCACAATGGTGTTTGAATTCCGGGAAATTCACGGGCGGCACACGGGCAAGCAGATGGCGAGGGTGGTTGAGGACACGATGGTGCAGTGGGGGTTGGAGACGCGTTGTCTTGGGTTCACCTCAGACAACGCCTCTAGCAACACTGCCGCTTTCAGGTGGATGTCGGAGGAGGGTGGTGGCCAGTGCTTCTTCAACTCGCACATGCACTTCCGGTACGAAAGGGAGTGTTCCTGTGATGTGAACATGTTGTGGTTGTAGTACAGGCGGGTGGGCCAATGTGTTGTGTACTCACACTTCCCTTTCTCTCCGCCATGAATGTTTTGTGACGTGCGCAGATGCCTGGCACACGTGATCAACCTTGCGGTGAAGGCGGCACTCGCTGTGACCGCCATCCGCAAGTTGCTGAAGATTCTGAGAGAGATGGCGTCGTGGATAGGATACTCGCCGCAGCGCTCGGGGAAGTTCTTGGGCCTTCAGCGGACTCTGAACGCGCAGGGCAACCCCGCCAAACCGAAGCCAGCGTTGAAGCTGGTGCAGGACAGTCCCACACGCTGGGGGTCGACACACGACATGGTCGAGCGAGCTGGGGTTCTGCAGGAACCCATCTCTGTCTACTTTGCCCAGACACAGGTGTGTGTGTGCGCCAGGTGTTGTGTATGCTGTTTTATGTGTTGGTATGTCGGTCGGCGTGTATTCTTCCGGCCCTTGCAGCACTGTTGGCCATGCTTGACTCGACTTTCCGGACCTCCAACAACCTCAACCACCCCACTTTCCATTCTATCCGTCGCCCACCCATACGTTCTACCCGACAGGGCGTGTCGAAGGCTGACAAGGCGAAGATGGACACCTTGCGCCTGACGGACGCAGACTGGGACACTCTGCATTCTGTCAAGACCTTCCTCAGCCCATTCGCCAAAGTCTCCAAGGCCGCAGAGGGAGCGGCGTACCCTACAGTGTCGATGGTCCTGCCGTACTACAACGGCTTGATCGACGCTATGGAGTCGCGCCTGGCCAAGGGGCCATCGGCTACGCTGAAGCCGATGATTGAGGCGGCGCTGGGTCTCTTGAAGAAGTATGAGTTGATGTCAAGCAACGAGCTGTGGATCGCCACCTTCCTGGACCCGTCCATGAAGGCGGCGTGGTTCGACGACGCGCACTGGGAGACGCTGCATCCCGACACAGAGCGGAGGGCGAGGCCTCGTCCCTCGTCAGGCGAGGTGATCCAGCTGGTTCGCGAACGCGTGGCCGAGTACCAGGCCCGGGCTGCAGCGATTGCCCCTCAGTCGACCCCACTTGCCCCAGTGACGGAGGAGGAGGGAGAGGAGGCGGATGACGACGAGGACGCCGAGTTTCTCCCTAGTCGCCGACGCCTTGCGGCGCGTCTGTCGGCGAGCCAGGAGGCGGGGAGGGGTGGGATGGTGCAGGATGACGAGGTTGGCAGGTACTTGTCAGAGAGGGTGCGGTGCGACGTGTCAGCGTTGGAGTATTGGCGCAGCGCCACCAACATGCAGACGCTGAGGCGCATGGCCCGGGATTATCTTGCCATCCCTGCCACGTCCGCGTCGAGCGAACGCGTCTTCTCCCTCGGCCGCAACCTCATATCCTGGAAGCGGCACCGCCTAGCCTCTCAGAGGACGCGAGCTTCCATGATTCTCAGATCATGGTACACCTCACACCCTGGACAGAGGATAGGCGAGGGCCGCCGTGCCAAGGGCGAGGCACCACCAGAGTTCGCCATTGAAGGCGAGGGGGAGGAGGAGGACGACGAGTGGGAGGAGGAGGAGGGGGAGGAGGAGCAGGTGGGGGTGGGTGCTGGCGACACCTCAGACGCGGAGCATGCTGTTGTTGGTAGTAGCAGTGGTGTGCATGCGTAGGATAGGAGATAATTTAGCAGTGACTTGACTTTTATATAAGCACTACATGATGGTGTCGTATGCTAGTGTGCGTTGCATGATTATATACACACCCTCCACCCCCCTATCTATCTTCCCAACCCTCCAGGTTCCGTGTTAAGCTGTTGTGACTATAATGAAAGTGGCCCTGGGCGAACTCGAACATGTTCGGGTCGAACATGTTCGAGTTCGCCCACACATAACAAATGTTCGCCCCCAAGGGCGAACGGCGAACATGTCCTTAAGCCTAAGTTGTTCGCCGAACCGAACTGTGTTCGGTTCGGCGAAAGTTGTTGTTCGGGCGAACTCGAACCCAAACGTGTTCGAGTTCGCCGTTTGCTCATCCCTAGAACAGGGGTATGGGTGGTAATAAAAGCATAAGCGAAAGGGAACCTAGTGAATCTTGCACACATGTTCAACCCACCAATCCATGTCTCTCTGAACACAAGTTCACCCCACCAATCCATGTCTCCCCCACTGGCTCACCTTCCTCCTCGCCCGCGTGTGTGCTGGCAGCCAGCCACACCCGCCGCCCTCGCACCACACGCCTCACTTCCTCCTCCTTCCCTCCCCGCGCCCTCGCCCCCCCTCTCGCCCCCCCACTCTCCGCCTCCCCTTCCCTGCTGCTCCTGCTGCTGCCGTGACTGCTCATGGTCGCTGCGAGGGGTGGAGAGCGGTTCAGCACGGTTCAGAAGCGAGCATGTTAGAGCTTAGGTTCGCCAGAAGGGGGCAACGCAGTGCAATAGGTGCTGCTGTGCTGGCAGGAATGGCTCGGCTGCTGCTAGTGGCAGTGGGGGAATGGAATGGAAAGGAGAGAGCTGTTTCACATGAAGAGGGTGCTTTGAGTCCAGGAAAGGATAACCATAGCTTGCCACGGCTTGTTCAGAAGAAGGGGAAGCGCAAGCGCAGGATGATGGAATGCATAATGCTGGGCTGATAAAGGAGTGGATGGAGGACGAGAAGTGTGGGAGCGAGCGGCACGTAACCCCACCACCATATTCCTGTGCTGTGCACGCATGCTGCCATGCAACAACACCTCACGCATGCTGCCATTCAACAACACCTCACGCAACCACTCCTGCAAACAACCGCACCTGGCTAGACCAGCAGCAGCAGCATTGCAGCATGGCAGCAGTATGGCAGCACGGCACGCACCGAACTTGAGGTTGCCGGTGTAGCGTGTGAGCATGGGGTTGGCGCCCAGGCGCTGATACCGTAGCCCCTGCTCCGTGCTCTGCATGCACGCAACCAGGCAGAGCGGAAGAGGAAGGTGGGGGGGGGAGAAGGAGCGAGGAGGGGTGAAACAAGAGATGCGATGCACGGAGTTGGGTAAGCAGGGAGGTATGGGGATGTGAGGTGAGGTGACATGGCATGGACATGAGCAGGGACGTGAGTGAGTGATGTGCGTGCAAGTGGGAGGCATGATGGGCACATGTTGGTTGCACACAAACGTGAGAGGCCACTTATATCAGTGCCAAAAGGTGTCGCACGTGCCAAAAGGTGTCGCACATGCCAAAAGGTCGCACGTGCCAAAAGGTCGCACGTGCCAAAAGGTCGCACGTGCCAAAAGGTCGCACGGGCCAAAAGGTCGCACGTGCCAAAAGGTCGCACGTGCCAAAAGGTCGCACGTGCCAAAAGGTCGCACGTGCCAAAAGGTCGCACGTGCCAAAAGGTCGCACGTGCCAAAAGGTCGCACGTGCCAAAAGGTCGCACGTGCCAAAAGGTCGCACGTGCCAAAAGGTCGCACGTGCCAAAAGGTCGCACGTGCCAAAAGGTCGCACGTGCCAAAAGGTCGCACGTGCCAAAAGGTCGCACGTGCCAAAAGGTCGCACGTGCCAAAAGGTCACACGTGCCAAAAGGTCACACGTGCCAAAAGGTCGCACTTGCCAAAAGGTCGCACGTGCCAAAAGGTCGCACGTGCCAAAAGGTCGCACGTGCCAAAAGGTCGCACGTGCCAGGTCCCAGGTGCGTGCGTACGGTGGTGGTGATGAGGGCGAGGCGACCAATCATGGCGGAGACGAGAGGGAGGAAGAGCCCATCCATGGCGTGCCACCTGTCAAACGTTGATTGGGTCATGCGCGCGTTGAGCAGCGCAATGGGCACCTGCATGGGATGGCGGCAAGGAGAGGGGAAGTGGCACACCGAAACACACAGAGACAGCCAGAATGTTGAAGACCGTTCTCTCTGTAACACGACTGTCTGTGCAAGGCGATTCCCCAGCAACGTGCTGGAGCGCCTCAGAGAAGGGCGGGAGATCCTGCAGCTTGCACACCTACTGCTGCTGCCATAAATACTTTTCTCTAAATCGACATTCATCAGCAGAAAATTGCGCGTCTTTCAGTATGAGCAGGAGGGGAGGGCGTACAGTGAGGAGGCGGGGCGAGAGCAGGAGGTTGGGCCAGAGCTCCTGCTCCATGAACACCGCCCCGTTGGGCTGCCAGTGCGCCAGGAAGCGCTCCACCGCTGCTGGCGCGTCCACTGGCGCTAGCTGCGGGGGGGGGGCGGAGCAATCATGAGCAGAGGGGGGCGAGGGGCAGAGAGGAGCGGAGTGGGGAGTGACAGGGAGGGGGTAGGGAGCGAGACCGATTTCGAGTCGACTGAATGACAGGGAAGTGGTACAACGCTGCGGCGCGTCCACTGGCGCCTAGCTGGCAGGCAGGGTCGAGCAAGGCGATGAGGAAGGAGAGATGCGTAGTGAGTACGACTGGTGTTCATCACGAGAAGGGTGTTGCAGCGGCCATGCACGGTATGTTCATTTCCGACCTCCTGCGTGCCTGGCATGTGGCACACGTGGCATGTGGCACACGTGGCATGTTCTACACGTGGCATGCGGCACACGTGGCATGGGCTACACGTGGCATGCGGCACACGTGGCATGTGGTACACGTGGCATGCAACACACCTGGCATATGACACGACACACACACCTGGCATATGACCCACACACCTGGCATATGACATGCGTTTTGGAGAAGGCTTTGGATACAACAGACCTGCCGTGCGGCGAAATTGGGAGGGGGGCGCAGGGGGGAGGGGGCAGAGAGGAGGGGGCATGTGGGAGGGGCGCGCGGAAGGGGCATATGGGAGGGGCGCGCGGGGAAGGGACGGCAAATTATACAAGGTAGTTGCAGGAGTGGGGAAGGAACAAGAGGATGAGAAGGAAAACGCAAGGGGGCGGCGGTCCTATGGTGAAAGCGAAGACCCTAAACGCGTTTGAGTGGATGCAGGATGATTCTGAAAGCCAAGACCCAGACCCGATGGGTGGATGAGGGAGAGAAACGAACAAGCGAGATGCAGACGCAGGTGGGGAAGCGAGAGGAGGAAGGAGAGAGGGGGAGAGGGGAGGAGGGGAAGGGGTTGGGGCGGGGTGGGTGGTGGAGGGGGAAGGGGAGGGGGAGGGCGAGCGGGGGCGTACAGCGCGAGGGCGTTGCGGGTGGTGAAGAGCACTTTGAGGCGCGGCCGCTGCTGCATGCACTTGCGCACCAGCGGTATCGCGATCGCGCTCTCGCCTGTGGGGGGGAACGCGGGTGGTAGTGCACGGCCGGGGGGAATGGCGGGCCGGGCACGAGGGGGTGAGAGAAGGGAGTGAGAGGGGCAGGAAAGCACTGAGAAAGGGCGAGGAGGACAAGGGAGCCCGAGAAGGGGAGTGAGAAGGTGCCGCGTCGTAGCTCTAAAGTTCAGGTTCATTGTGACCACGAGAAAGCTTGGAGCCCACAAGGCGCGGTCTAGGAGCGGTCTAGGAGCGGTCTAGGAGCCTACCCACGGAAACAGCATGGAACCACAACAGAGGACCGTCCGGTCGCTTCGCCGAAGGTACGCCCAGTTGTTCCCGCCATCTGCTCCCCGCGCCGTCCAATCCCAGCAACGCGCGCTGCCAGAGGCCCATCGCCACCAATGGCGACGCGATGCTCGTGGCTGCTCTGTACGCGCCTTGAATCGCGGCGCCGACTGCGGCGTCCGCCGCCATTGCGGGAGTCGACGCGTGCAGGTGGCGCGACGAGGCGGGGTGAATGGAGGAGCTGTGATCGCGCGGTGGAGACGAATGCGAGGGCGAGAAGGGTGGCGGCTAAGGGAATCAGGGTAGTCCCGAATCCCGATATTGGCGGTTGACGTGGCGGGAACCAAGGTGACTGTCCGATCATGCGAGGAAGAATCAAGGCTTCTGGTTTGAACAGCGTGTGCACTAAGAGGGGTATTTCCTTACCGCTGGCTGGGTGTACCCTCTTACGGTATTATGAGATTATGTTATGACATCAAGAAGCTAAATACGTGATACCTGTAATTTATTGAGTGACTTGCAGCAGCATCACTTCTCTCATAGAGACTTGCCTGTACATTGAACAGTGGGGTTAAATGTCAATTGAACTTCTACGCAAAAAGAGCATCAAATAGTGTACCGGGAAGTCATGTTATCTTCCTGTTGCCGTAGTTGGCGATTTTGCGGTTCCATCTGAGTTCTGCGGCTCCTGCATACGGTGATCGCAATTCTTGTGGCAGTGCTCTAACACGCCTCCACTGTGCGTTACAACCCAGCGCTGCTTCTCTGTGCATGGCTAGTAAGCACTGCTCTGGCATGCAATGCCAACCACCACTGCTCAACGCACTCACTGCATCTGCACCCACCCACCCACCCCTGTACAAGTTGATCCTGTGGTACCTGCAGTGAAAAGGAGGGATCGGAGACACAAGGATGCTGCAACGCCCTATTGTTGGCTCTTAACTCACGCATGCCAGTAGCGACAAGCACTCACGGGCTCAAAGGCAGTCACAACCCTCTATGCCATACTGACAAACCTTACCCCTCTCTCACCCCCCACCCCCTCCTCAACCCGCACCTCTCTCGTCCCACCCTCGAGCCAGAATCTGCCATCCCACCAAGCCGTGTCACACCTGACTCGCCACAGCCCCCCTGCGCCTCCCATGCCCCCTAAACCTTCCCCCCCATATGCTTGTCCAATCCGAACGACGTCAAGAGGCCTCACTGCATGCATCTCAACAGCAGCGGTGTCCCGGCATGAGGGATTCCTCCCAACCCCCCTGCGCCTCCCATTCCATCTCACCACCAACCCCCCTGCGCCTCCCATGCCATCTTCCGCCAACGCCCCTGCACCTCCCATGCCATCTCCCCCCAAACCCCCTGCACCTCCCATGCCATCTCCCCCCAAACCCCCTGCACCTCCCATGCCATCTCCCCCCAACCCCCCGGCGCCTCCCATGCCATCTCCCCCACAACCCCCCCAGGTGAAAGACCTCAAGAGGCGTCACTGTGTGCGTCTCAGCAGTAGTGGGCGTCATGGCGCGAGAGACTCACCGCACCCGCACTCCGCCTGCTCCTCCCATCCCATGCCATCCGCACCACCCCGCCCTCTCCCCCCCTTCCTGCCCAACCCCCAGGCGAATAACCTAAAGAGGCTTCGCTGCATGCACCTGAGCAGCGGCGGCACTGGCGTCATGAAGGACTCGCCGCACCCCTCTCACCTCCTTACATGTCACCCACAAACTCCCCCCTCCCCCTCTACATCCCCCCCACATCAACACCCTTGCCACAGGCGACTGACCTCAAGAGGCATCACTGCGAGCGCCTGAGAGGCGGCGGTGGTGGTGTCACGTCATGAAGGACTCGCCGCAGCCGCACTCCCCCTTGGAGTTGGGATTCACGAACACAAACTCCGACCTGCGCCCCCCCACCGCCCACCCCGAACATGCCATTCGCACAATGATCGGTGGAAGGTGAGGAATAGGATCAGGGCAATGAGTGATTTCGGAAATGACAGCAGCAGGTGGGAAGGTAAGGGGGAGCATGGGGCAGCAGGGCATGAATGTGATGAACGATAATGAAGGAAGAGAGAGAGGTAGGGGAGGATGGAGGGGAGAATACAAACGTGACACAAGAGAGTGAGGTCGCGAAAGAGGGAGGCTGGACGCGCAAACGAGAGGGAGGGTAGGAGGAAGAGAGGGAGAACATGGAGAAAAACAGGTTATGAGCGGGGGAGGGTGGGAAGAGAAAGAGATGGGGGTGGGAAAGGAGGGGGGGGGGGTGGGGAGTGGGGTGGAGACAGGTGCGCGCAGCGGCATGGGGCGGGACGGTGTTGGGACGCACTTGAGGCGGTCCTGTACGAAGTCGACGGTGGTGCCGATGACGGCCATGAGCGCCTTGGGCTCCACCACCACTCGCACGCCCTTCTCCTCCACCACCTCGTTGAACCTCCCCGGCTCGTCTTCTCACCGCCGCGCACACGAGCAATGGGCGACGGACGACAGCAGAGTGACCCCATGGGAGTGGAGAATGTGAGATTGAGCGACGACATCTGAAGCGGCATATTGAGCATTGATAAGACATCTGGAATGTGTGATTATGAGCTTACTATATCCGCCATGAGAGGCACACAAGGAAAGACGCATGTAGAGAGGGATACGAGCGTCTTAATTGCTCTACTACCTCTACAAACACAACACCGCGACATCTGGTGTGATTCCAAACGCGCTCTCCTCGATACCCAGTGCCTAAAGCACGCACGTAAGACTGCGAGCGCGCGGCGCGTACCGGCGTAGGTGAGCGTGTAGCTCATGCCGCTGCAGCCGCGCGACTTGACGCCCAGCTTGAGGTACTCCTTGTTGCGCCTCGTCAGCAGCTCGCGAATCCGATCGGCCGCCGCGTCCGTGAGCTGAATCACCTGCCGCTGCGGTGCGCGCGGCCTGATCGCTGCCTTGTCGGCGGCAGCGAGCGCCGCGGTCATGACACGAGGACGACTGCGCTGTGGTGGACGGACCTGGTTGTGTGACTGACACGGAAAAGCGTGCCAGTGAACGGGTAGCAGGTTCTTTCTAAGGGCGTCGGTTGTAGTAGAAAGGCCTCACAGCCGACAACATGAGCCTTGAGATATGATGTCGGTGGTTTCGAAATCAAATTAGGAGGCACTCTAGCACCTGGTGTTCAGTTGGTCAGGACTCAGGGCCCAGCAGTCAGAAGCGGCTGGAGTATCGAGGCTGGAAACTATCGACGCTGCAGATGGTGCAGGATTCATGAACCATCATTCCTCAACTCAAGACCAAACAGACAGTCAGGGCGCGTCTCCCTCTTGATCCACCCTGAGCAGGTTCCTTTTTCGGCTTGGTTGTAAATGTAAAACGTGGAGTTTTTGTGTGGTAGAGGATCGAATCCTCGATTTTGCACGATCCATCGAGGGAGGGGGGACGCGCCCTGATGTTCAACATGGAGGTTCCAATTGAAGCGAAAGAACAAGGTTTTCGCTACCGAGATCAAGAATACAACTTTGAGGGAGTACATTTGCAGCAGCGTTTGTAGTTTTCCAAATAGGCGGAAAATGTTTCTGACATTCATGTCACTTCCTTTTTGGGTTGCGTAGTAGCTTCTTTCTAAGGGCGTCGGTTGTAGTAGAAAGGCCTCACAGCCGACAACATGAGCCTTGAGATATGATGTCGATGGTTTCGAAATCAAATTAGGAGGCACTCAAGCACCTGGTGTTCAGTTGGTCAGGATTCAGGGCCCTGCAGTCAGAAGCGGCTGGAGAATCGAGGCTGAAGCTATCGAGGCTGGAAACTATCGACGCTGCAGATGGTGCAGGATTCATGAACCATCATTCCTCAACTCAAGACCAAACAGACAGTCAGGGCGCATCTCCCTCTTGATCCACCCTGAGCAGGTTCCTTTTTCGGCTTGGTTGTAAATGTAAAACGTGGAGTTTTGGTGTGGTAGAGGATCGAATCCTCGATTTTGCACGATCCATTGAGGGAGGGGGGACGCGCCCTAATGTTCAACATGGAGGTTCCAATTGAAGCGAAAGAACGAGGTTTTCGCTACCGAGATCAAGAATACAACTTTGAGGGAGTACATTTGCAGCAGCGTTTGTAGTTTTCCAAATAGGCGGAAAATGTTTCTGACATTCAGGTCACTTCCTTTTTGGAATGCGTAGCAACCCTTCATATTTGGTTTCACATTTTGGGGATATCATATCGAGAGTGATTTTGAAGTACTCTTTGGAGCACTCGTTTGAACGTTTTAAGTCTGTGCTCAAACGAACGCCTCAAGGAGTGAATGAGCATCACTCTTGAATGCGATATCCCTGAATGTGAAGCCAAATACGTACGTACGTATCATGTTGAAACCATGAATTTGCTCGACCATCCCACCTCGTTGATAAATACGGCGGATGGTACGGCCGAACATAAGATTCAGGCATCAACATGAACGAATGAACAACAAGGTATGAGTTGGTATGGATGCTTCAAAATGGGCGTTAAAATGCATCATATAGCAACAGAGGCTGATGGGGTCGTTGAAACAGCGAAAACACGCTGCCCAAAGACGATTAACAACCTCTAATTGCATACATGACACGTAGTAACATCACACTTTGAAACACACATACCACGAACACGAATGCACACGCATATAACAAATTGTACAAATGAACAACAAGGTATGAGGTCGTATGGATGCTTCAAAATGGGGGTTAAAATGCATCATATAGCAACAGAGGCTGATGGGGTCGTTGAAACAGCGAAAACACGCTGCCCCAGAGGCGATTAATAACCTCTAATTGCATACATGACACGTAGTAACACCACACTTTGAAACACACATACTGTCAAATTATAATGTTGTGTAGGCTATAGTGGGGTAGCCTATATGGGGTACACATTTCTAGGGTTGCATATTTGTATCACTTTCGTTCCTTAGTCAATCATTCTCGTTTCGGTTTTCTCATGGTATCGAGCAGGTTCCCTAGTGGGAACTGTGCCTAGGGCCCACCACATCGATTTTTTTCCTGCACGGAGCACGCTCAGCCCGAGTCGCGCTCCTCTCTCTCACTGCGTCGCGCCGCCCTAGCGGCCCCGTCGCCCTAGCGGCCCCGTCGCCCTGGCGGCCCCATCGTCCTAGCGGCCCCGTCGCCTAGCCCTACGGCCCCGTCGCCTCGCCCTACGGCCCCGGCGCCGCCCTGTCCCGGCCCCGCCGCCCTTCGCTGCGGCCTTGCCGCCCTTCACTGCGGCCCCGCCGCCCTTCACTGCAGCCCCGCCGCCCTTCGCTGCGGCCCCGCCGCCCTTCACTGCGGCCCTGCCGCCCTTCCCTAAGGCCCCGCCGCCCCTCGCTGCGGCCCCGCCACCCCGCCACCCCGTGACCCACTGCTCGGACGCTCGCACAGGCCGGCACCTGGCCACGTTTACGCGTCGGCCGGAGTCGAGCCTCTACACCCTGACCACTGAGTCTCCTCTTGTCCCTGCGTCTGGTCAGGTAGCTGCGTCGGGTCAGGTGTTTGCTGCAGCGTCCAGGTCTGGTCCTAAGTCTGCCCCCTGCTCGTGTCGCCTCCTGTCTCACGAGACTCTCTTGTGGCACCACCGTCTTGGGCACCCCTCCCTGCCTCGTCTCCGAGGCATGGCTTCCCGTGTCCTTGTCTCTGGTCTTCCCCGGTCCCTCCCTCCCCTTCCTTCGGGGCCTGGTCCTTCCTGTGTCCCCTGTGTCGAGGGGCGGCTACGGGCTGCTCCTCACTCCTCTCCGTTTCCCCCGGCAGAGGCCCCGCTGCAGACGCTTCACATGGACGTGTGGGGCCCGGCCCGCGTCCGTGGACAGGGTCACGAGCGCTACTTTCTGCTGGTGGTTGACAACTACTCGCGTTACACCACAGTCTTCCCCTTGCGCAGCAAGGGCGATGTCACTGAGGTGTTGATCGACTGGATCCGCGCAGCTCGTCTCCAGCTCAGGAGGAGCTTCGGCTCGGACTTTCCTGTTCTGCGTCTGCACTCTGATAGAGGCGGAGAGTTCTCCTCTGGCCTTCTGCGAGCCTACTGCCGTGCGCGAGGCATCCGCCAGACCTTTACGCTTCCGGACTCTCCATAGCAAAATGGGATTGCGGAGCGCCGCATTGGCATGGTCATGGACGTCGCTCGTACGTCCATGATGCATGCGGCTGCCCCCCATTTTCTGTGGCCGTTTGCGGTTCGGTACGCGGCGCATCAGATCAACCTTCACCCCAGGGTCTCCAGGCCGGAGACCTCCCCAGCTTTGCTGTGGACGGGTAAGGTAGGCGATGCGTCTGCGTTCCGTGTCTAGGGATCTCGAGCGTTTGTCCGCGACTTGTCTGCGGACAAGTTGTCCCCTCGTGCTGCTCTTTGTGTCTTCCTTGGCTTCCCCCCTGACGCGCCCGGGTGGCAGTTCTACCACCCCACCTCTCGTCGTGTTCTGTCCTCTCAGGACGTCACGTTTGACGAGTCGGTCCCCTACTACCGCCTCTTCCCCTACCGCACTCCTTCCCTCCCCCCGCCACCGCTCTTCCTTGTGCCAGGTCCCCCCCGGTAGACCCCCTCCCCCCTCAGGGTCCTGCCCCTTCAGGTGTGTCCCAGGTAGACGCGGTCGAGCCGGTCGAGGTTACTGGTTACTCTGGTGCTGCTGTGGGTGCTGAGCCTGGGGGTGCTGACTCTAGGGGTGCTGCGCGGGTGGGTACTACGCCTGGGGGTGCTGGTACTTCGGGTGGTACTGCTGGGGGTGCTGAGCTTGGGGGTGCTGCGCCTAGGGGTGCTGAGCCTGGGGGTGCTACGCCTGGGGGTGCTACGCCTGGGGGTGCTGAGCCTGGAGGTCCTACGTCTGGAGGTGCTAAGCGTGGGGGTGCCACGTGTGGAGCTGCTGAGCCTGGGGGTGCGGAGCCGGCGGCCGCTGGGCCTGCTCGTGTGGCGTCTGGCGGTGCTGGGCCTGGAGGTTTTCCGGGTGCTTTGTCTCGGCGGGAGCCACTCTCTCCACAGGAGCTGCGTGAGTGGTTTACGCGGCGCTGGAGGCGTACTGCTGGAGCTTCTTCGGCTGCTGAGGGTGCTGGTGCGGCCGGTCCCGGAGGTGCTCGTGCCGCGAGTACTGGAGCTGCTGGACCTCCGGGTTCGCCTAGCGCTGGAGCTGCTGAGGGTGTTGGCGCTGAGGCTACTGCTGTCAGTCGTGGAGACGGTTCTGCTGGGGGTGCTGCTGGTGCTGCTGGAGGTGTTGCTGGCTCTGGTCCTGCTGCGGGTGCTGCTGGTGCTGCTGGAGGTCCTCCAGCTGGCGGTGGTGTTGGCGCTGGTGCTGTCCCTGCTATGTCTGGAGTCACCGCGCGGCCTCGGCCGTACTTCGTTCCGCTCCTTCAGCAGGTTCTTGGTCTTCCTCCTCCCTTAGAGTGTCCACCGCCTGTCCAGTCCCAGTCACAACTTCCGCCAGCCTCCCCACTGCCTGCTCCTTCTCCCTACACTGGTCCTACTGGAGGTCTTGCTGAGCGTCGTGAGCCTGCGTCTCGTCCTGCGTCGCCTGTTCGTGCTGCTCGCACTAGTGGTCTCGGTTCGCGTCAGCGTCCTCCTCCTGTCCTTGGCACGCACCGGATGTCGCTGCGTCCGTCCACTGCTCCTCTGCATGCCCCTTTGCCTTCTCCTCTTGAGTCCTCTCTTCCTGCACTTGCCGACCCGGAGTCGGACTCTCTTTGTGCTGCCAGTCCTACCGTCACGCGTCTCCTTGCTACTGTCGTCACTGACCCCTCCTTTGAGTCCACTGCTGCGTCTGCTCTTGTTGCTGAGCTCGTCGACTTTGCTGCTCGCTGTCGTCTAGACTACGTTGCTAGTCTTGTTGCTGAGTCTGTGTTTGTCTGTCCTCCGTCCGTCGGGGGTGAGTGTGCTCTTGGCACGGACGTACTGCTTGCCCCTGAGGGAGACCCGGATGCACTTGACATCCCGACTCCGCGCTCTTACGCGGAGGCCGTAGAGGGTCCCT